AGTAGACCAGAGAAACATACACCCAAATTAAATTTACACCAAAATTATTAATTAACATTACCTTTATTAATTTAAACAATGAGATTAAGTCAAAGCAACATAACTGACAATTTGCACAGACGAATTATCAGAGCGAATTTTCATATACTGTATTATCCTACTATTGTGACACAATTTATTAACATACTCTTTTTTAGGTTCTTTTGATAACGATAGCAGAAAATAGCTATCGAAACGTCAAGGTAATTTTTCAAATTAATTTCTTTACTAATTGGAATTTTCTCTTACAGCTTGAGCCTAAGTGTGTCGCAGGATACCCTCTAGGTGATAGTTCTTGATTACTTTTTGATAAATAATTCGTTCTTATTGCGAAATAGGAGCACTATTTATCAATCTGTAATAGAAGACGTGAGGAAATTCTGTCTTTTTCAAAAACAAAAATTTTTGAGACGAAATACCCAACAAGAAGTTTGTAAAAAAAAATGAATCCGCCTCAACAATATAGAACTTATCAACAAAATGAATATAATTTTTGTAGAACTTACGAATTGAATGCCGGAGATCAAAAGTTCAAATTGACCAAGAATCATGTGAGCGTGAAACGATACCAAAAAACTGTTCATGTGGAGGATATTATTCCTAATGTCATTGAACCCTCGTTTGGTAAGAACTTAGTGTTATGTTTTTGAAAGTAAGTAGACTGGAAATGCAGGGTTGATCTAGACTTTTAAACTTGCAGGTATAGGTAGAGTAATGTATGCAATATTCGAGCATAACTTCAAACAACGAGAAAACGACGAACAGAGGACTTATTTGTCGTTGCCAGCCGTTGTAGCACCTTTGAAGTGCAGCGTCCTGCCTTTGAGCAGTAATTCGGAATTTAAACCAATAATTAAACAGTTATGTAAGTGTACTCTGTATTTTTAAACCTATTAAGCACCACCGGATTGAGAAAGCTTCCAGGTTGCAATTTACTCCGCAAATTGCAAAAAATACTTTTAAGAGCTCAATCAAGTTATTAAATTATGAATTTGTTATTTATAGCAACTGACCTCACTAAAGTGGTTGTCTCGCATACAGTGGACGATAGTTCCGGTTCAATAGGAAGAAGATACGCCAGAACTGATGAAATCGCGATTCCTTATGGGATTACTATCGATTTCGACACATTGAAAGAACCGCATACTGTTACGTTAAGAGAACGTGATTCCATGACTCAAGTGCGAATTCCCGTACGTAGTTTTCGGCATTTAAATGAAAATTTAACTAATCAAATGTTATTTGTTCATAGTTAACTGAAATAGCAGATGTTGTCCACAATCTCGCGTACAACAAACAGAGTTGGACTGTTGTTCAAAATAAGTATCCTAAATTTGAGCAGCAAGAGAGCAAAGGAAACTAAACCCAGCTGCTTTAGTATGAAAGTAAGAGTAAACCGCATTTAACACTTATTCGTAGCTTTTCCCCCGGTTATATTTATAAACAATGCAACTTGTACTTTCAACAGTGTTTTATTTACGACGTGTCGAAGATCATCGATCGTCGAAATGTTTGTTGAAAGCGTTCTATCTGGGAGGCAGAGGGGAAAGTTAAAAGACATCGATTTTCCTCACATTTTAATTACAAATTTGGTTCAGAACTTACATTATATCAATTACTTTATTGAATTGAAATTCGATCACGACATATAAATGTAACGCCGATCTTTCACCAGCGAAACTTTTCTATCGAATTGAATTGTTCTCATGCCAAACCTAATGCAATGTTCCGAAAAATTTCAGTATTATCAGTATCATTGAAGTTGATTAAATGGAAAACCAAAACAATCTGTTAAATACACCATGTACTGTCTATAACATTGCATTATTTATGTACATATTATGACTGCCACAAAGTAAAAAACTAATCTTTGTACCTTTCCTTATTTGAACCACGAAGACATTTCCGAAACAGCACAGCGAGCGCCTCCACTACGTAATGGATTACGATTTATTGAATAACTTAGATGAGAAAATCATACAAAAAGTAGTAAGAAAATGGGGGTTAAAACATTAACGTTACTTATGGGTCACGTACTCTACTCTAAATCTGGGATCGGTTCGTCGTCAGAGTCTCCCCCTTCATCAGCATCCAAATCATCGAAATTTGGCTTCACATTGCCTTCACCACCTCCTAAGGAACAACACAGTCTATGTAGGAAAAATGAAGCGTTCGATATGATTTAACTGTGATCGAGATGACCTCAGCAGATCTAGTTTAATTGAAATACAATCATGAGCAAGCGGATTGGCTTTACCTAGTCCTCCCATTTGTCTCATCATTTCCTCAAAATCACCGCCGCCACCGCCCATTCCTCCAAGGCCTTCATCCCCTGATTCATCCTCATCGTGCCACTTGTTGAAGTCGCACTTCAACCAATGGTGCTTCTTTTTGTCTGAGGTAAGGAATGGCCAATAAGGTTCATCTGGCTTAGCCTGCAAAATCCCGATTTCATATACTGAGCAATAAAGGATCCTCTGGACGAGCATACTTTTGCGAGAAGGATTTCAATGCATCTTTCTCTGTTGAAGTTCTTGGTTTTTTCGGGGTCTATTTCTTTGTAAAGGTTGATTGTTACTTCGTATTCCTTTTTCTCTAGCCCTCCTGTCCCGTGGAAGTATACCGAATGATTCGTAAATCTATAACGTTAAAGATAGATCTAATATTTAAATACGTTCTTCCAGTGTAAATCCATTAGGATTTTACTTTAAACTACACACATAAGCGGGTCAAAATGCTATTTATTCACTGTAAGGTTTCCGTGGGCTGTTAATAATTGTGTTTTTACTGTCGTGATATGGAAAACGTGTTTCCGTACAAAATTTCGAGAGTTTTGTAAGATGTTTCGAAACAAACTAGATTTGCAATCCTTATCGTGGGAATCTTCTAAAGCGATCTTCGTAAGTAACAACATTACCATCCTTCTCAGACTGAGAAGAGTTATTGGTAAGTCTCTGCTTAATTTTTTGCTTGAGATGGACAGCCGTCGAATCCCTTATCGGTTCTAAATTTATCATCTCACCCAGCACTCGCGTTCAAATTTATGTTATCGTAAGTTTGATTATAAAAAATTGGAGTTTTCACATGGACATAAATAGACTTATTTGCAGTCCTGTAAAATTGATGTTTGAACCCACCAATAGAAGGAAATCCAATGGTATTTCAAGGCCGCAATTTTTCGCAGGATTATGGCCATCACCCAAAGGTATGCAGAAAATCTTTCCTGCATATCTATGCAGATGAACACACACATTCATAAGTAAATAATTGATAGACCTTAGATCAGATTATGTATGACCATTCACACATGCTTTCTCCAGTAACACTTACTTGACTACGGGGTCCTGAACGTCTTCTAAATTAATAGTTAGGAATACAACAGCGGACCTTTGAGCCCACATAACGGGGGGTAACAATCTGTAACAAAATCATTTGAAAAGTTAGGTTAAGGCAAAATGTTTAAAAGGATTTTTTTGCAGAGTAATGCCAGTGCAACATTAAATCATGTTGCAGTTGATTTCGCTTGAAATTGCCATCGGTTAGCGAAAAGAAATGCGAAAATGCCAGAAATGTAGAAAATTCTAGAATTGATTGTTGAAGACGATACAACATGGCGTAGTAAGATTTTTAATGCGGCATGTAAAACTGTTATTTCGACTGAAAATGATTATGCGTTGCAATTATGGGTATACGAAATAAGCGTTCTTACTTGGAATCGGTCATTCTGAGGATTTCACTTAATTATCAGATCGGTGAATGGAAAAACGAGAACGAGAGTTCACTCCAACTTGCCGCAAAAGAGACAACAACCTGAAGCTAGCCGAATGAGAAAAATGCGATTAGAGGGCGTCGCTCGTCGTTTTATCGATACGATTCTGTAACACCAAATATTGTTAGAAACGGGCGTAAATTATAATTAAATTACCTTTTATAAAATTGTCACATTTATTCTAAACGTCATAATAAGTACAAATTGTTCAAATCAATGTATACTTGATATGTTAGGGAAAATTTATTATATTTGAATTATCAAAATAAATAATTTCTAATTTGCGGATTTTTTACTGCAAAGTGCTGCTTGCTCAGTTGGAATTTTACTAATGTAAATATTTTATTGAACAGAGATTATTCCGAGTCTTGAATAGCTACAGACTTAATTTAGTGTAAGAATAATGATTTTAAAGATTTAATTAATTTTTCAAAATGCTCCAACAGCATGTTTATTATTCTAAAAATAACATTTATGTACCAAATAAAGAATAGGTAGTTTTAAAAAAATTATTATACAAAGGCAGCCATATTGATAATTATACGAACATGAGGAAGTTGCCACGACATAACCGTGGTTTAAGACATTTGCAGCCAGTTTACAGTGTACAAAATTTTATAAACATTCGCTACATACTAATGTTTTCATAAGTTTAGATTGCAAATTTAAACATATATGTTCTATTTTACTCAATTAACTTTTCAAAATCAAGTACGGCTACAATGAGTAACGGGCTTGATAAAAATCAATTGACCGCCGTATTGCAGGTGTTGAAGAAATACAATTTAAAGGTAAGTGCTTAGTACCTAAAAGGCGTTTATGCTAATTGATATGGAAACCTAAACAGCTCATTTTGTGTCATTTTATCAGCCCCTCGAATCCATTCTAGGAAATGGATTCGAGTTTAACTCGTGCTATCAACGTATGTGACATGCAAACTTAAAGAACATACTCTTGAGGGCTTCTGAATAGTGTCTTCACATTTACCCAATTGATAATCCCTTTCAGGAAACCGAAGAACAACTGAGAAAGGAAGCGAACCTTACTGATCAAGTAGATCAACAAGATTCAGATGTAAGCAGCGTGCTCACTGGATATAAAAGCGATGGAGACCCGGAAACCTACGAAGGCTCTTACATCGAGTTGAAACGCTTTGTAGAAAACTCCCTTGATATTTACAAACATGAATTGGGAATGATTCTATACCCTGTGCTGGTTCACATGTATCTTGAGCTGGTTTACAATGGGCATACTGATAAAGCAATCTCACTGATGAAAAAGTTTGGTCCAGAGCAAGATATTTACTATCAGGACGACTTGAAAAAACTAGCTATGGTAACCAGACGAGACCACATGAATGGAAATGAATTGACTGATACGTTTAAATCGAATCAGTTTATTATCAGAATGTCCAGAGACACTTTATCTCTGTTAAAGCGACACGTACATGACAAGAAAGCATCGGTGTTATTGAACATCGTGCAAGAGCATTTGTATTTTGATATGTATGAAGGAGTAGCCAGAAACAAGACGCAAATTGATGCCACATCTGGAGCTGTTGGTGGCGAAGCTAAAAGACAAGGTATTTGCAATTAGACCAATTGCTTGTATGCAAGTCCAGTCAGTGTATTTAATTAAAAAATTAATTGTTTTAGACAACAAGATAAAGGTATACTATGGAATTCCCAAGGCCCCAGATATTCAGATACTATCAGCGCCAGTTGAAGATGAAGAGGAACCGGCCGAACAGGAGAGTCCTGATAAACCGAAAAAGAAAAAGTCGAAAAAGGATCCTTTGCTTTCTAAGAAGACTAAGTCTGACCCAAACGCACCTCCACCGGACCGGATTCCCATACCTGATTTGTATGTGTGCCCATCAATTATTAAATGAAGTAGAGCTGCAGTTTCAATGAACAACAACTTTTAACTCTCACTTCAAATTATTCTAGAAAGGACAACGATAAAATGGAGAAACTGAGAGCCTTGCGCGAAACTTCCAAAAGAACCAATTTAGGACCGGAGAATCTACCCTCATGCTGCGCATATACTTTGCTGAATGCTAATTATAAGTAAGCAATAGTATAATAATGATAATATAACATTACAAGTTACTAATTTCAGTGTTTGCTGCGCAGAAATAACAGAGGACTCAAGCATGCTTGCTGTCGGCTTTAATGATTCGATCATTAAAGTGTTTACGTTGGTTCCACAAAAATTGAAATCTATGAAGTCCGCTGATAAGTTACAAGAAGTGAATATTGAGGCTGAGGATGTGTTGGTAAGATTATTTTTTTACAATTTTAGTTTTGTTTTAATTAACATGTTGCTGTAGGTCAGAATGATGGATGAAAGATCAGGAGAATCTGCTAGGAGCCTTTGCGGCCACAATGGCCCAGTCTATTCAGTGTCGTTTTCACCGGACAGATCGCTATTGCTAAGCTGTTCAGAAGACTCCACTATCAGGTAGATATTTTTTTGCCGAAAGCAATGAAACTACTATTCAGCTGTGATTGTGATAACCATGAACGGTTATTTCGATCTGGTTTAGATATATTCTCATACTTTTTATCCTGAAAACATAGAAATTTTTAGGAGTATTGGTTTGAAAACTTTTACCCACTTTTCAGGTTGTGGAGCCTGCAAATATGGACCTGCTTGGTCGTTTACAAGGGCCACATGTTTCCAGTGTGGGATGTAAAATTTTCCCCAGTTGGTTATTACTTCGCTTCTTGTTCGTACGATAGAACGGCGCGCCTTTGGGCCACTGATCATTATCAGCCTTTGCGGATATTCGCTGGACATTTTTCTGATGTTGATGTAAGTAACTATCGATTAAAACACAATGGCTAATCGATCCCTGATCATTTATCTAAATCGGGTTTTTGCAGTGCATTCAGTTTCATCCAAATTCGAACTATGTTGCTACTGGCTCAAGTGACCGAAGAGTGTGTTTGTGGGACATAACCACTGGGAATCATGTGCGACTGATGACTGGCCACAAACAGCCTATTCAATCTTTGGCTTTTAGTATTTGCGGGCGCTTTTTAGCCTCAGCCGGCACCGACTGCAGAGTGTTAATTTGGGACCTCTCGCATGGGCACTTGGTTGCTGAATTGACTGGTCATAGTAAAACGATTCATTGCCTAGCATTTAGTAGGTGTGGAAATATTTTGGTGTCAGGAGGGCTGGACTGTTCGGTGAAAGTGTGGAATTTTACAAAGTTAACTGAAGAAATTAGCTCAGAAGATGTGAATATTTCTCATAATCCTGACGTGAAAACTGGTGATGATTACTTACTGAGAACCTTTCAAACGAAGAATTCGCCACTTATTAATTTGCATTTTACCAGAAGAAATTTGATGTTGGCTGTGGCTGTATTTGACGGAATCGCCAGTTAAATTGTCTGGCCCTTTTCGATAGGGAAGAAGTTAATTTCGCGTATTATTAGCGAACTGTACAATTATTGAATGCAATACTGTTGTAAAACTGCGCCAAGTGTGTTTGAATAAATCAACCAATCTATATTCAGCAGTTTATTTGTATATTTTTCAAGTTTCACTGAATTCCTTAGATAATTGCCAATTCCAAATGAAATTCATTCCTGGGTTTCAGTCATTTATTGTCTCTATTTATCAATCAAAATACGTTTCGGTGTATTTTTCCACCATCATCAG